AAAAAAAATTAATAATACTAAAATAAAAATTTAATCGGTTTATTAACTGATTAGATAATTAAATTTAATAATTAAATATTTGATTTGTTCTTACGTTGATACAAAATTCCCAAATCGATGATACAGCTCGATCCCAGTCTCGTTTCGAATCGTCGTAGTAAACGTCTTAAACAAAACTTATACCCCACCTAGTAATTTATTACCCTTGTATTAATTCAACTTCCGTGTTGAATGGCCCACAAGAGGTGGGTTTTTTATTTTGTTTTGTTTTTTTTTTGTCTATGAAACTTTGAAGATCATCCTCATACGCCATCTTGGCTAAAGCCTGTGACATTTACGAGATACAATCCTCAAAGTTTTGGTTAATTCGTATTTTTGAAATTCTTTTAAAATAAAGTATAAAATAAATTGAGGTCATAAAAAATTAGTTAAGAAAATAGCTTTTAACAAAAAATAGAACCGAGAATTACAGAGGAGAGGTTGTGATTGCAGAAAATTCTAGATTGCAAATAAGAATTTATGAATTAGAACAAAGAATACGTGCTTTAAATCTCGATAAAGACGAATTGATTCGTGATAATACACATTTAAGAAATAGAGTTGAAGAACTTGTACAGATTCATGTAGCAAATGAAAATTTGACGCGATTAAATAACGTGTTAAAAATTGTTTTGAGAGACTGTGAAGATGAGAGAGTTTATTACAAAGTGGCCAATATAAAAGAATTTGAGGATTTTATTTCAAATTATATTTTTAGTTTGTTCAATAATATTGAATTATTATTGAGATTTGATAATCAATACACAACAAATATTGTGAATTTTTTAAGGTTTTATAATTTTTTTCAGATACCAATTATTTTTTACTATGTTAAAATTATTTATAGAAAGTCTTTGTTTCCAATTTTCGTAATCCCATATGTAAATCTCACTAAAATGAAAAGAATTCGTGTGGTTGAAGTATTATTTGTGAATATTATCACTATTTATTTTAGATTATGGTTAATTTTTTTTGTATTTGCAAAATTTAACAATGAGTTTGTTATGTTTTTTATTTAAAATACAATTATAATTTATTGAATATATTAAAATAAAATTAATCATTTATTTAAAATAGTAAAATAAAAAACTATGTCAACTAAGATTTTTACAAAAATAACTCAGTAGAAACCAAAAGTTTATCTCATTAAGAAGGCTCCCTTCGATTCGATAAACTTTTGTGCAAGTGGTCGTTTGCCTTTAAAAAAAAAATCAAAATGTGTGTGTATTAAAATGAATGTTTGTTTGCATCTGAATCAATTATATTGATTCAGATTTATTTTTTAAAAAGATATTATAAATGAATAAAATATATTTAAGCTTTATTGAGTTGTTCATTGATTTGATAAATTATATACTTCAATATATAAAAATAATAAATTAAGTTTGGTCTAAAATAAAAATCCTCAATAGAATGTTTTTTGCTGTATAAGTTTTTTGCTAAATCTAATACAAAAGTATTAGGATCTGTAGAATTGACTAAGTTGTAATGCATTTTTTCA